TGGTCGAGGTGGCAGGTATTTTGTATTGAATGAAGAGCTGCGACCACGATTCGGTTTTCCCTGTCTGTCACGAGAAACGGGTGTTCTGTTGGTATATAAGGCTTGATTTTCTGAAGGGGAATATGTATCCCGTTGAAGCTCATTTTGAATGTGTATTTCTTCACTGCATAGCAGTGAGTATAAGCCTTCGAGATTAAGGGAATGTGGGGAGGTCCTGATTGCTGCTTTGAGAGGGTTATAAGTCGCCGGTAACCCATTTAAGATGAAGATTATTATGTCTTCAGAATCCACATTCGATCCAGCCGCTACGATATTGTCTATAATGGTTTTGATTTGAGTGAGATATTGCGCAATCGACTGGTTCCCCATCTTCACATTGTGGAGCTCATGTTTGAGCTGTATTACTCTCGATCTGTTGGTGGGTTGCAGCCGGGTTTCGAGCGTTGCCCAGATTTCGCTCGAGGTAGATAAATGAATGATATAAGGCAGGACTGAAGGTGAGATGGTAGAAATCAGTGCTGAAACCAGATTCTGGTCTATGAGCTTCCATAGACGGTGGTCGGTGCTCTGCTCGGATGGGCAAGTGGATTTTCCGGTGAGATATCCATCAAAGCCGTTTGCAGAGAACGATTTGAAGATCTGAAGTCTCCAGATCGCATAGTTGTCGCTTGATAGCTGGACATTGACGATGGACTTCAGATTCGACATGAGAAACTTCAGCGGTGTCGGAACAGTGAAATTTGCCATGGATTCCGACAAAGAAGAAGATGCTGAGGTGCTGGAAGAAGATCCTTGTTCTCCCATTTGGATAAGTTGAGATGTGCGCTAGCACTGGAGCTCTGATACCATAAAAAATTCCTGCAAAACAAAGATGATCGGCAGAAAAAGAAGCAGAGAGAAGAAAAGAAACAGAGAGTAGCCTTTAGAATATTTCCATTTGATTCATCAGATGATCATAATGCTACAGTAGCAATACATCGTATATATGGGAGAAGGAGCAGCTTCTAGAGTCTGGCAGGTTCGTTAGTAATGTGGTAGTGGAGCAGAGATAAGAATGGGCCAATTGTATTGAACCACGTGTGCTGGACCTGAATAAACAATGCTGTTCTGCGAGGTAGAGGAAGGTATGTGTTAACAGGCCCCCTCAAATTAACTGTCGAGAGGCTGGACGGTTAATTTGGTCCGAAGTGTTGTAAATCTGGGAGCGGAGAGAGCTTTGGTGAGGAGATCTGCAGGTTGATCAACGGAGCTTATGTGCAGGACATCAATATCTCGGTTCTTAATGTGATCACTGATAAAGTGATAATCAATCTCTATATGCTTGGTCCGAGCATGAAAAACAGGGTTGTGTGCGAGAGCTAATGCGGAGACATTGTCACAGTAAAGCTGGGTTGGCGTAGATTGAGGGATGAGAAAATCAGCGGCGAGGCGGCGGAGCCAGATGACGTCGGAGGTGGCGGAGGAGAGTGACCTGTATTCGGCTTCAGTGGACGATTTGGCCACAGTAACCTGCTTTTTGACATGCCAAGAAATGAGGTTCGGACCGAGAAATGTGCAGAAACCGGTAACTGATTTGCGATCAGTTGGGTCCGCCGCCCAGTCGGCGTCAGCATAGGATCGAAGGGTGAGATCTCCCTTGCAAATAGGTAAGCCAAAATGAATCGTTCCTTTGATATAGCGTAGGAGGCGTTTGAGGAGTTGGAAATGGTGTAGGGAGGGGTTATGCATATGTTGACAAATGCAATTGGTAGCAAAGGCTATATCGGGACGGGTGATGGTGAGATATTGAAGGGAGCCGGCTAGGCGACGGTAGAATGTGGGATCTGGGTATGGGGAATCAGTTTGAGATTGGTTTCCGGTCTTGGGTGAGATAGGTGTGGCGGCAGGTTTACAAGAAGAGAAGCCGGCTGATTCTAATATGGCGGTGGCATAATGTGATTGCTGTAGAAAAATCCCATTTGTGGTGTGATGAGCTTGTATGCCAAGGAACATAGAAAGGGGTCCAATTTGCTGAAGGGAGAATTGTGTTTGTAGTTGTTTCAGTATGTGATCGATCTGCAACTGATCATTCCCTGTGACGAGTATGTCGTCGACATAGATTAAGAGAAAGATCTGGACGTCATTCGTAATGAGGCGCAGTAAGGATGGATCGGACCTGCTGAAAGTAAAGCCAAGCTTCAATAAAAAAGAGGTTAGCTTATGAAACCATTGGCGAGATGATTGTTTGAGGCCATAAATGGCCTTATGCAGGCGACAGACGTGATCTGGAAAGTGCGGGTCGACGAATCCAGGTGGCTGCTGCATGTACACCTCTTCTTGTAGGTCGCCATGTAAAAATGCGTTGGCTACGTCAAATTGAAGAATGTTCCAATTGCGTTGTAAAGCAACGGTGAGGAGAACCCGGATGGTAGGAAGTTTGGCCACGGGGCTAAAGGTATCTTGGTAATTGATGCCAAATTGTTGTAAGTAACCTTGTGCAACAAGCCGGGCCTTATGGCGAGCAATGCTGCCATCGGGGTGGAGCTTGAGCTTGTATGTCCAACGGCAGCCAAGGATGGGTGTGTTAGGGGGCGGTTTGGAGAGAGACCAAGTGCCCTGTTTTTGAAGGGCGAGGAATTCTGAGGACATGGCTGTACGCCACGGAGGGAGTTTGGAAGCTTGGTTGTATGAGGAAGGGGTGATGAGAGGAGATGTATGTGCAAGAAGATCAAAAATAGGCTTGGGACGGAGGTGACCCGTCTTTAGGCGAGTTTGCATGGGGTGGGTGTTAGAATGAAGTGAGTTGGGATTAGGGGGGGGAATGGGTGTTGGGTTGTTTGATGGTGGAACAATTGGGGAAGTGGGAGTAGTATGATGGATAGGGGATGATGGTGTAGGAGTTGGTTGTGTTGAAGGCCGAAAAGGTGAGGTAGGAGTTTGGAGGGAGGAGGCAGGAATCAAGAGTTGAGGGGAAGGAGTGGGATTGATGGTATTGGTGGTAGAAGTGTGGGTGGAGTGAGGAGAAAAGTGATTTTCGTGAAAGTCGACATGTCTAGAAATGTAGATCTTGCGGTTTGTTGGGTTGAAGCACCGAAAACCTTTATGTTGAGTAGAATATCCAAGGAAAAGGCAGGGGTGAGAGCGAGGAGCGAGTTTATGTGGAGAGTAAGGTTTTAGCCAGGGAAAACAGATACATCCGAAAACACGAAGATGGTCGTATGTGGGTGGTTGACCGTGGAGAAGTTGGTATGGAGAGGTAAATTTGATTGAGGAAGATGGTAGACGATTGATGAGATAATTAGAGGTTTGTAATGCTTCAGCCCAGAATTGGCAGGGAAGATGAGAGGCGTGGAGAAGGGTTCGTGTGGTGTCGAGGAGATGACGGTGTTTGCGTTCAGCAACGCCGTTTTGTTCGGGTGTGTGAGGGCAGGAGAGTTGACGGGTAATGCCATGATCTTGAAGGTATTGAGTGAATAAGTGACTTGTGTATTCTCCTCCCCCGTCGGAGCGGAGGATTTGAATTTGGGCATTGAAGACGGTATGGGTCATGGAGTGAAACAATTTAAATTTAGAAAGGACTTCATCTTTGGTGTGTAATAAATATAGCCAGCAAAAACGAGAGTAGTCGTCGATGAAGACGACGTAATATCTATACCCATTTAAAGAAGACACGGGTGCAGGACCCCAAACATCACTATGTATTAAGGTAAAAGGTTTAGTTACATGAGTGGAACTAGTAGAGAAAGGTAATTTGTGGCTTTTGGCCACTTTACATGAGTGACAGAGAGAGACAGAGGGAGAATTACATAAAGAAGGAATAAAACTAGATAAAATCGCCATGGTTCGGGAGTGTGGATGTCCGAGTCTGGCGTGCCAAATGGAAGCAGACGGAGTGGAGGTGTGGAGGGCTTGAGGTCGAACGGTTGATCCAGTTTGAAGTGAGTAAAGTCCGTCACGGATTTTGCCACGGTACAGAGGTTGGTTGGCCTGAGAATCAAAGATTGAAAAACCGCCGGAGTCGAAGGAGATG